CACTGGCGGTTCTATCCGCTGAAGTCATCCCGTGGGCTTCCTCGAGATCCTCCTCCTTGACTCCCTCTCCCTCCTCCCTGTCTCCCTCCTCTCTGACTCCCTCCTCCCGGACTCCCTCCTCCCTGACTCCCTCCATCCTCTCGTTATCGTTCCCCGTCAGTGGACTGTCATCATCAGCAGCAGCTGCTGTAGCTTCCGTGAAGTCTTTGGTGGCGTCCATGGCGACGATAAAGGAGGCGGCCCTCCCACCACACTACAGCAGTGCCAAGGTCACTCAGTATCCGTCTCCGGAACAGACCTCTGACGTCATCACACTGACGGACGGACGGACGGGGCCTGCAGCAGGGAGGTGTGGACGCCGGCGAGCCTTGGTGGGGCTTCTCACGGCCGCTATCGCTGTCAATCTCTGCAGAAATAGAACGAGTTGGAAAAAGAATGTTTAAAGAAGAAAAAAAAATACACTGCAGTTGTTGTTGTTGTTTTTAAAAAAAATTTCACACCCTCATCGACAAGATTTAGGTAATTAACCCTATCCCTACGGCGTGTTTTACTATCGTATCCATACGACGTGGGGAACTCTGTGCCACCACTTTCCAAAGAGGAAATTTACTCGTTAATCCGATCCGTACGCTTTGCATAGCAGTCTGTCAAAATGATTTTTTGAGAAAAACTGAAAGTTTCAAAGAGATATTTGCACTATAAGAATTCTAAAATATGGAGAATACAACCATGGGGGTACAAAATGACCCCAGGGCGTACGGATAGTGTTAAAGAGGCATGTTTTGACCCTGGTTTTCAGGACATTAACCGGAGCTGAAGTGAGGAAAATTTGCGTAAAGTGCCTTTCTCAAAGACACAACGTCTTGCCCCTGGCGGGATTCGAACCCACAACTTTACAGTTGCGAGTAAGGGAGCTTAACAAAGCCACCGACGCCACAAAAAGACCAACCACTTGTGCCCTTCAATCACGTAATTTAAATTTAAAGGTTTTAAAACCAGCTTGCCAGTAAGGCCTACTGCAGGAAAGTATCAGGGTACAAGAACACCAAGAAAGACCTGGATCCAGGGTGTGAAGGATACCCTGAGAACATACAATATCCCACCCAGCCAGGCCATCAAACTTGCTAGAGACAGGAAGCTCTTTCTCCCCTCGCTCGACGCCCGAGAGGTACAAGAGGAAGGACAAAGTAAGTAAGCAATACAAAGTGCGCAACTATAACGATCTTTTTTAGAGCAGGTATGCAAGACAGACAGACGCCCCAAGTACATAAACAAACGACGGATGGACTGAAGAAGTAGCAGAGAAATAGAGCCTACTACAACAGACTTCCTCCAACGATCGGCAATTATATTTCTGATAAAAACGTTGCGTATTTTGTTTTGTTTGAGTAAATCATGTACACAATAATGGTCATTTAGCGCTGGGACTACTACATACTAAATAGAGCAGACCAGGTTACAATCTGTAGACTCCGTTGTGGCCACAACAGACTCAAACACCATATTATTATTATTAAATATGCACACCAAATTGAAAGTGGGAGAGACAGCGATCTGTGAATGTGGACACGACCAAGAGGATGCCAACCATGTCCTTCAGCACTGCCCACGCTACGCCACCCTTCGCGCACATACGTGGCAGAATGAGGCTCCCCTTGAGAGAAAACTCTATGGCAGTCTCTCAGAGTTGAAGCGAACTACACAGTTTGTACGCGGCATCGGACTGACTGTATAGCTGCTAGCATGGAGAACGAGGAAGAAGAAGAAGAAAGTGCTGGGGAAAAGTACCACAGAAAGACAAGATTCAACAGTGGGGAAACAAAGAAGTAGGACCTTCAACTGTCTGGCACCTTCCAACCAACCACCTGCTGCTAAAATCCTGGGTAAAAGCATAATTATCTCAACATCCCACGGTTAATAGCGTCTTTCCAACAAGATGTCACCGTGACCTAAATGTGGCTGAACGAAGAGTAGAAAGCCCGGATGAGTGAACTAGGTCAGACATGTTTTAAAAGGGTTTATGATGGAAGGGAAGGGGAAACGGGGGGGGGGGGGTGTTTAGTATACGTTTACCAAAACTTCTTTTTTTCAGTGACAAGAGACCATAACTGTCGCGTTAAATAGAGCTGGGTAGAAGTACAGCTGGCGCACAGGGACAACAGAAAGGCGGTAAAAAATTTTTAAAGGTACAGAAGTACATGTACGTCAACTGTAGTTTTAAGAACTGGGAAAACCACAAAGCAGACGGACAGACAGGCAGATATACAGACAAACAGACAATCAGGGTCTGTCGTTCTTATCCCCTCCTCCTCTTTTTTGAATTTGTTACTCTCTAGTTACACCTCTAATCTTCGGCATTTATGTGACCTAATTATTATCATTGTAAAGAAAGTGCAGTGAAATTGTCTAAATACAAGCAAACAGATAGCCAGCCAGACAGACACAGACAGGCATTCTGGCAGACAGACAGACAGACAGACAGACAGACAGACAGACAGACAGACAGACAGACAGACAGACAGACAAGCAGACAGATAGACAGAAAGACAGACAAACAGACAGACAGACAGACAACCAGGCAGGCAAATAACACAGAGGAGAGATGAAGGAGTACAGTTGTAGAACTACAGGGGATAGCTTCGGAGCAGTAATAGACGTATGACGTATACCCAAGGACATTTGAATAAACAAGGACCTTATTCGAATAAGCAAAGTTTTTTTAATAAGCAAGGAGCTCATTCGAATAAGCAAAGATCTTTGGACAAGCAAGGACCTATTTCGAATAAGCAAAGACCTCTGAATAAACAAGGACCTTATTCGAATAAGCAAAGAGAGAGAAAGAGAGAGAGAGAGGGGGGGAGGGGGGATAGCGAGAGAGAGTCAGAGAGAGAGAGAGAAAGAGAGAGAGAGAGATAGAGAGAGAGAGAGAAAGAGAGAGAGAAAGATTGATACATTGAAATTTCTCTGGGT